GTCCTGTGCAATACAGGAGGGGGGGGGGGCCATGATGTCTTCCTCTTCTCCATCCTGGACCACCATCTTGCTTGCTTCTGGGAAGAAATCTGTCAGCCATTTAGGCTGTGCTGGACCCGGCTGCCAGCAGGTAGATGTGATCTTTGACATTGCTGGCAGCTGCTGATGAAGTGCCATCAGAGCTCGGGTGGATGAATGCAGAGGCACCACTGTGAGATGCTTAATCCCCTTCAGAGCTCCTGTATGGGGCAGCCATACACACTTGCGGCTGGCTCTGACACCCCTGGTCCCATCTTCTTTCACATCTTCCGGGGGGCCCTTCTTTCAAGCGGCAGCGCTACCCAAAGCAAATGCCTTGTTTGCCTCATGGCAAACTTGCCCCTGGTAAATGTGCTGAAGCTTGACTTTGTAAAGAATACTCAATCACGTGCAAGGAAAATTAAAAAAACAGCAAAGTGCACAGTCTTTTTACTTTATTAAATCAACCACACAGTGTCTAGGAAGTTCATGCGTCCTTGAACTGCTCATTTTAAGTTGGACTAAAGTGAGAGAGAAAGAGAGCTTGTACTGTATGCTGCAGGAATGATTCATGATTTTATGTATAAAAATCTAAATTTCTGGTTGGATAGCCTTTAAAAGTAATAACAGCTTTGCAGCTTGCTGGTGTAATAATTACATTGGTGTAATAATTTGATTCCAGCACTTTATTATAAAATCCATGAGTTCTTATTTGTTTCTTGGTCTTTCCTTTCCAACACCACACTTTAGCTTTGTCCAGACATTTAAATGGATTTAAGGTTCTGGATTTTTCTTGGCCAATTAATAATATTTATAAGATATGATGAAAACCAGTCTTTTACAGACTTTGCAGTATGTCAAGTAGCATTATCTTGAAAATAAAATTATCATGGAAATAAAATTATTGTGAAATGCAGGGGAATAACTGTAGAATATCTGTAGCAGGGGAATAGCTGTAGAAGAAAGCAGTTTTGATTGTAATATCCGCAGTATGGCTATACTGTACAGTTTGTGTCCAAAATTATTCAACCCCCAATGCTGTAAAGGGGTTTAGGGACTATAGTGTACATTTGGAATTGTATTCAGAATCAAATCCTACAAGGACGTTGTAACTACCCAAATGCAACTAAAATGACATCAATTGTTTATGTAATACAGTAGTAAATGGTTTCTTATGTGGTTTCTCTAGTTCATTGCCCACAATTATTCACCCCTTAAAGACTACCACTCTGAAGAACAGAGGTTCATACAGGTGCTTTCCATCAGGTATTGAAAACACCTGTGGATGTCACCGAGCAGCAATCAAGCATAATAAGCACCAATTAGGCAGCTTTAAAATGACTGTGATACTCAGCTCCTTCTAGACATTTACTGGTGTGGTTACAAACACATGGTGAAGGCAAGAGAATGGTCCAGGAAGACAAGAGAAGAGGTGATTTCTCTTCACAGGAAGGGCAATGGCTATAAGAAGATTGCAAAGATGTTAAACATACCAAGAGACACCTTAGGAAGCATCATTCGCAAATTCAAGGCAAAGGGCACTGTTGAAACGCTACCTGGTCGTGGCAGAAAGAAGATGCTGACTTCGACTGCTGTGCGCTACCTGAAGCGTAGAGTGGAGAGAAGTCCCCGTGTGACTGCTGAGGAACTGAGAAAAGATTTGTCAGATGTGGGTACAGAAGTTTCAGCCCAGACAATAAGACGCACACTGCGTAATGAAGGCCTCCGTGCCAGAACTCCCAGGCGTACCCCCTTGCTGTCTCTCCAAAGAATAAGAAGAGTCGACTGCAGTATGCCAAAAGCCATGTGGACAAACCACAAAAGTTGTGGGATAGTGTTCTGTGGACTGATGAAACAAAATTAGAACTGTTTGGGCCCATGGATCAACGCTATGTTTGGAGGAGGAAGAACAAGGCCTATGATGAAAAGAACACCTTGCCTACTGTGAAGCATGGTGGAGGGTCAATCATGCTTTGGGGCTGTTTTGCTTCTGCAGGTACAGGGAAGCTTCAGCGTGTGCAAGGTACCATGAATTCTCTTCAGTACCAGGAGATATTGGATGGAAACGTGATGCAGTCCGTCACACACCTGAGCACCTGAGACGTTGGGAGACGTTGGACCTTTCAACAGGACAATGATCCCAAGCATACCTCCAAGTCCACTAGAGCATGGTTGCAGAGGAAAGGCTGGAACATTTTGGAGTGGCCATCGCAGTCACCAGACTTAAATCCGATTGAGAACCTCTGGTGGGACTTAAAGAAAGCAGTTGCAGTGCGCAAGCCTAAGAATGTGACTGAACTGGAGGCCTTTGCCCATGAAGAATGGGCGAAGATACCCGTAGATCGCTGCAAGACACTTGTGTCAAGCTATGCTTCACGTTTAAAAAGCTGTTATAACTGTAAAAGGATGCTGTACTAAGTACTAAGATTGAATGTCACTTGGGGGTTGAATAAAACTGATAATGCTGTGAGCACAGAAAAGACATTTGTGGTTATTTCATTATAACTGTTATGTTATATTTGTCTGACCTACAAGTGCCTCTTTAATGTAAATGTAAGCAAGATGACTGAATGATCAAAAGCAATGTCAAACTGGCCAAAACACTCAATTTCAGTGGGGGTTGAATAATTTTGGACACAACTGTATATGGTTTAGGAACGGTTGAAGGGGTGCACTTGATAGCATCTTTCTGTTTCCTGGCCTTCCAGGCTGCATGCCTGGAGAAGGGACTGGTATAAAGTTTAAGGTAGACCCCAGCACCCGAAGCATTAGGAAAGTACCTTGCATGAAAGACTTCAGAGTCTCCCTAATTTGCAAGGCACCTTGTCTCCATCGTAGAGAGGAAAAGAACCTTATCCCTCACATCCTGTTCTGCAAAAGGGAATAGGGGTTTTTGCATGGGGGAGCCTCTAGTTATCTGCTTCCCCCAGGAGAATGAGTACCATCCAGAGAAATCCACTCCTTCCCCTAGAAGGAATGAATATGCATTCTTATTCATCCTCAATAATGTAAAAAATAAATAAAACACAGGCATCAAACCTTTATGGCACATGACAGGTCCCTAACTAGTTTTTGTGCTTAAAACAAACCAAATAGGATCATAGATGACATCAATTGTGATTCCAGGGGCTTGGGCAGGCAAGGAAGCAGGAAGCCTAATTTGGCTAATAGACCTAGTAGATGGCCCAATGAGCTACAAACAAGCTAGGTTAAAACACCTGTTTTTTTTTTTTTTTCCTTGCCTCTATGTTAGGGAAGATACCTTTTGTTTCCTGTCTTTTGACACAACAGGAAATGAGGAGAAACTCTCCAAAGTGAGGGAAATTGCACCTTGGACAGTTGACACCAGAATAAATGCCCCAATTTGAAGATTTCTCCTCTATTCTTGTTCTGGTGACAATAACATTTTTTTTTTTTCCATTTTCTGTTACTTTTAGCCCCAGTGACATTGGTCATCAATATGAATAGGGTGTGTGAATCTAACCTCTGGAGCCAAAGATAGCGATACAAACCTGATAATAAATTCTAACCCCTATGTACAAAAATATCAGAAAAGGTTTTGGCTTTAGATACACTATAAATATGACCTTCTCTCCTTCACTGATCAGCGGTTGTCATCTGTTACCAATCAGCCCACAATTTGAAATTTGCTGTGATTTGCCATAGTATAAATTGCTTTCTTAATTTTGTATTTTCCACCATTCAGTAAACAGGCATACTTTTATTGATAATAATAACAACAACACCAACAGTTGACATTAACATTTTCAGTTGCAATACTTATAGTCAAAACTTCCTGGCTTGCTCAATTTTGTACACAATTGATTGATATGCAAAGGATTGCTAGACCAAAATTTTGGGATTTTTTTTTTATTTTTCAGGCCGGAGTGTCAATGTTAAGTCAGTTGGCCTTGTTGGGAGACATGGACCCCAGTCAAAGCAGCCATTTCTAGTAGCTTTCTTTAAAGCAAGTGAGGTTTTGCTGCGCTCAGTTAGGGCTGCAAACACAAAAAGGAAAAAAGCAAGACAAGAACAAATCTTCATCACAGCAAGATGCATCAAAAATGCCTAGTATTACAGGTAAGAAACAAAACGTTTAAGTAAATTAAATCTCTAAGCAAATCTGAATTGGCAAACAACAAATTTTGGCATTTATTTGAAGAGCTGAACTCAGTAAAAGTATTTTGTGTGTGTTTGGGTACCAACAGAAAATTAGTTGTCAGCAACATCTGAACATAACTGTTGGCGAACATGTACTGTACATTAAGGACATTTGTAGGTTCCATAAAAAGACACGTCATGTACATTTCTAAAATAATTTTGTTCCTATTTTATTCATGCAAAGATGAAAAAAATACATCCTATAGGGGAGATGTACTAAAACTAGATAACTCAGTATCTGGTACAGCTGTGCATGGTAGCCCATCAGCTTTTAAATTTAGCTTGTTCACTTAAGCTTTGACAACAAAAACTGGAAACAGATTGGTTTCTATACAGAACTGCTCTGAAGGAATGGCACAGATATGCCGTTCCTTCAGAGCACATGCTTCGGCTTATAAAAAAGAGAGAATGTTCATTCTACCTACAGGTAAGCTTTATTATAAGCTTACCTGTAGGTAAAATTTAAAAAAAGAGTTTACTACCACTTTAATAATATAACTTAGATTACAAAATCTCGAATTTTACTAAAATTAGTTGATGCAAAAATGAATACACCCCACAACAAAAACTGCTACATCTAGTATTTTGTATGACCTCCATGATTTGTAAGAGCAGCACCAAGTCTTCTAGGCATGGAATGAACAAGTTGGTGGCGTGCTGCAACATCTATCTTTTTCTTCAAGAACGACCTCTTTTAGAGCCTGGATGCTGGGGTGGAGAGTGATGCTCAACTTGTCTCTTCAGAATTCCCCATAGGTGTTCAATTGGGTTCAGATCAGGAGACATACTTGGCCACTGAATCTCTTTCACCCTGTTATCCTTCAGAAATGCAACAGTAGCCTTAGATGTGTGTTTTAGATCATTGTCATGTTGGAAAAGTGCACGACGATGAAGGGCACGGAGTGATGGTAGCATCTTCTTTTTCAATATAGAGCAGTACATCTGTGAATTCATGATACCATCAATGAAATGCAGCTCCCCGACACCAGCAGCACTCATGCAGCAGCACTCATGCAAGGTCACTGCCACCACCATGCTTCACTGTATGCACCATGCATTTTTCTTTGTGCTCCTCACCTTTATGATGCCATACAGTTTTGAAGCCATCAGTTCCAAAAACATTTATCTTGATCTTATCACTCCAGAGTATAGAGTCCCAGTAGACTTCTTCTTTTTCAGCATGGGCCCTGGAAAATTCTAGATGGACTTTTTTGTGCATGGGCTTTAGGAGAGGCTTCCTTCATGAATATTACCCATGCATGCCATTCCTCTGCAGTGTATGCCGTATTGTGTCACGGGAAACAATCACCCCAGCTTGGCTTTCTACTTCTTTATCTAACTGCAGTGAACTTGTAGGGTGATTTTCTTCAACCCTTCACATCAGAAGACGCTCTTGTCGAGGTGTTAACCTCTCTGAATGGCCTGGACGTCTCTGTGAGAAGGTTGCAGTACCATCTTTGTTAAATTTTTGCATCACTTTTGCTACAGTATTCTGACTGGTAAGTAAAGGTTTGCTGATCTTCTTGTAGCCTTCATCTTTCTTGTGTCAAGAAATTATTTTCTTTCTCAGGCCTTGTGATATTTCTCCTCCATGTGGTGCCATTGCTGACAGTATGAAATAGAAAGGGGTTTTCTTTGTTAAGTAATGCCCTTTTATAGTCAACTGTCTGCTGGACACCTGTTTAATGAATAATTAGGCTCACCTGTAGTTGAATCCTTGCTAATTAAAATTTTGTTGTCTAAAATGTATCTTTGCTCCTAAGACTTTCATTGGAGTGTATTCATTTTTGCAAAATGGTCTTGAATTAATTTGTTAGGAAAATTACTTTCTTGATTGTGCAAATTAACAAATCTTGTTTGCAATCAATGGCCTGCATTTGTGGGAGTATTTTGTTGATGGTGTCCCATAGAAAAGGATGATTATTATTATATTATACAGTATTTATATAGCGCTACTGTGTGTACTGTGTACTGTCAGGGCAGAGCTCTGTGTGGTTTACAATCACAGAGCTCTGTCCTCTCCAATTCGTTGATTAGTGGGTTCCGGTCACCCACTAATCGGCTTGTGCTATAACTAATCACAGCACAGCAGGGGTAGAGCACATGTGCCCCCCCCCCAGAGGAGCTGCATCACTTATTAGATACGTGATACAGTACAGAAAGTCCGCCTTGCCACCTTACTTCTATGTGAGGAGCTTGGAAAGCTGTTAAACTGTAAATTTTATTATTCTACCTAGATTGGCAAAATTAGGTTACTGGTGCTTTGTATGCCATATTTGATTTATTCCCAAATTCTTTTGTTGGCATATTCCAAAAACATGTATATCAATGCAAATCTACCTTTTGAACACATTTCATACGGCACCTCAGTGCGGGAGCATGATTTTGACTGTATTGTTTACAGATTTACTATATGAACTGTGCCTGTGTGTTCCAATTATACCGCCCACATAGTTTATTGTCTGATTGTAAATCTCTGTAAAGTTACTAGTGTAAGGATCTACCTAAACAAACAATCCATTTAGCTTTTATCCTATTCCTCATACTATGTAGTCATTGGTAATACTAAAACTGGCAAACCATGTTGCAATTTCTTTTAGATTTATCAGCAGCTATGTAGTGGAAGACCTCATTAGATTAGATTGAGTAGTAATTGAATGCATTATCTAGGCAATCAGCTTGCAATAAATAGATGTTGGTAAATCTAAAGGTGACAGTTTAGAAGACGTAGTCAGTTTTTAAAGCATACCTTCACCCAAATTGTCCAAATTAAACTAATGGTACATTAGAAATGTTGTGAAATGGCAATAAAAAATATCTGCTTTAAAATGCATGCTATTTTTTCTTTTAATAACTTTATAAATTTTATCTTCACTGCTCCAATCCCATAGGCCATTTTCAGTAAGGGAAGAGGATTATTTACATTCTGGAATTTTTGCCCCCCCCTCCCATATGTTTATATGTTACCATAGTAATTTATTATTTTATTTATTACAGGTACTTATATAGCACCGTCAGTTTACGCAGCGCTTTACATATATTGTACATTCACATAAGTCTCTAACCCTCAAGGAGCGTACAATCTAAGGTCTCTAACTTACATTCATACATACACATACTAGGGCCAAGATAGCCAGGAACCAATTAACCTACCAGCATGTTTTTGAAGTGTGGGAGGAAACCGGAGTATCTGGAGGAAACCCACGCAGGTGCAGGGAGAACATGCAAACTCCAGGCAGGTGGTGCTGTGGTTGGGATTTGAAACAACAACCCTAGTACTGCCAAGTGGAAGTGCTAACTATTTAGCCACTGTGCTGCCCAATGGTTGCTTTTTGATGCTATGGTAACATGCAAATGAACAAGTGGGAAAAAAAATGCCTTTTCTAGCTGAGACCTCATGAGATTTTATGAAATCGCTAGATCTTGTGTTTTAGGAACAAGATCTCCCAGAAAGGTACTGGCGAGGTAGCCTTCCCAAGCATTAGATGAGAGGCCCTGGCTATGTTAATAGTGCCTATTAAACACAAGGAAATGTGTTAACAAAAAATGTAAAGTAATCTTTTATTTTACATAGGCCTTACAAATATACACTCACCGGCCTCTTTACTAGGTACACCTGTTCAATTGCTTGGTAACACAAATTGCTAATCAGCCAATCACATGGCAGAAACTCAATGCATTTATATATCTAGATGTGGAGAAGACGACTTGCTGAAGTTCAAACATCAGAATTCGAGCATCAGAATGAGGAAGAAAGGGGATTTAAGGGTCTTTGAATGTTGCATGGTTGTTGGTGCCAGACAGGCTGGTCTGAATATTTCAAAAACTGCTGATCTACTGGGATTTTCACACACAACCATCTCTAGGGTTTACAGAGAATGGTCCGAAAAAGATAAAATATCAAGTGAACTGCAGTTGTGTGGACAAAAATGCCTTGTTGATGTCAGAGGTCAGAATGGGCAGACTGGGTTGAGATGATAGAACGACACGCGGAATATCATCTCTGAATGCACGATGCATCGGACCTTGAATCAGATGGGCTACAGCGGTAGAAAACCACACTGGGTGCCACTCCTGTCAGCTAAGAACAGAAAATGAAGCTAAAATTCACACAGGCTCACCAAAATCAGACAATAGAAGATTGGAAAAATGTTGCCTGGTCTGATGAGTATCCATTTCAGCTGCGACATTCAGATGGTACGGGCAGAATTTGGCATACACAACATAAAAGCATGGATTCATCCTACCTTGTATCAATGATTCAGGCTGGTGGTGGAGGTGTAATGGTGTGAGGGATATTTTCTTGGTACACTTTAGGCCCTTTAGTACCAACTGAGCATTGTCCCTTTGAGGACCATAAGATTACGGAACGCCAAAAGAATCAATGTTTTGTTTTTAAAGTTCGTACACTTCAGTTGCTGTAACTAAGCCATTTCATGAAATAATTGGCAAAAAGCTAGATCCATTTGTTGATAAGAACTAATATTTTGACTCAAACCAAAAAAAAAAAAAGTATTTTAAGTTCTTAATCAGATGATACAGGCAATTAAAATCATGGGACAAATACGTCCTTTGGTCACACCACTGCCTACCTGAGTATTGTTGCTGACCATGTCCATCCCTTAATGACTACAGTGTCCCCATCTTCTGATGGCTACTTCCAGGAGGATAATGCACCATGTAACAAAGCTCAAATCATCTCTAACTGGTTTTGTGAACATTAAAAAGGAGTTCACTATACTCCAATGGCCTCCACAGTCACCAGATCTCAATCCAATAAAGCACCTTTGGGATGTGGTGGAATGGGAGAGTCGCATCATGGATGTGCAGCTGACAACTCTGCAGCAACTGCGTGGTGCTATCATGTCAATATGGACCAAAATCTCTGAGGAATGTTTCAAACACCGAACAAAATCTATGCCAAGAAGAATTAAGGCATTTCTGAAGGCAAAAGGGGGTCCAACCCGGGACTAAAAAGGTGTACCAAATAAAGTGGCCAGTTAAAGAGAGCGAGAGAGAGAGCTGCATGCACAAGGGACTCTTGTGTTTGGGGGGAAGAAAGGTCCACACACATGACAAAACTGTCTGTCTCCATTCAGAATCTGAGGACTGACAAATGAGCAGCCTCTTAAAGGAACTGTCTTCATTCAGTGCACATATCCAATATTCTGTGTCTGTCAAGAAATCTGTTAATTTCTGCCTCATTTAGAACAAAATACTATATGATTTTTTCAGAGCTGTTATCAGACTACAACTGCCAATGTGCTGAATCTCTTGTAGCATTAAAGCTGCTACCTTCCAGCACAAGTTTTTTTTTGACAGGCCTGGAGCTTGGGGCAGAGGCAAAAGTCTAAGGCCATAATACAGGATTTGAAGGGTGGCTAGGATCCCACAGAGGTAAAAGAACGTTTGGATGTTAGGATATAGACACTAACCCTGATTGGATGAGCATTTTCCACCGTCCTACTCTTGGTATTGAATAATAATAGAGAACATTTTGCATCTCTATATTTATAACACTGCAGTCAGGCAGGGTCTTTGGGTACATGAATGCCAGTATGTAATCAAGGTTTAATGGAGATAGGACAGCCATCTCAGGTACAGTGTCCCTTTGTTAAGTTGAGGTCAGGGTCATATCTGTGATTTTTTGGTGAAAATGACAGAATGATAGACTGATACAATTTGTCTCATATAGCTAACTTAGACTACTACTTATGAACAACTTAAATCTGTGGAAACAAACTTTACAAGTTTTCAGGGCATAAGACAGGCTGATGTTTAATCTGAAGTTTAATATTTTGCTTTTCCTGGTTCCTCTCCCCTCATCAGCATGCTAATGACATTATTAAATAAAACCTGTTTTTATTATACCTTTTTTAGACTCAGTCACATCATCAATAAGTCTCTGCATCTATATGCAATGCAGTTGGATCATGGCTGGTTTGAGGAGCCACCTGGGTGCTGTACATAGCTTCCTTAGAAAAGCAAGCTGTGATAGTGCCCACATGAAAGCATTAGCCTTTATGGCTGAAAGAACTGAAATTCAATCAATTAAAGAGTTGGCCCAGGGATAATAAGGCTGGGAAAGAAAGGGCTGGATAATGCTGGATGTCCTTCAGTCAGTGACTAAGGCAGGCACTCTTTGACTTGTTACCACTTCTAATGCACACTTTGAGAAGTTTACAG